ATAAAAACAGTTATTATTAAATAGGATAAAATATTAATTAATATATTTTATAATTGAAATTGGTCAAACACATCTTAAAAATAATTATTTACATATAATTAAAAAATTTTCTTGATGTCTTAAAATATATATAATAATTATGACTCAAATAAAAGTATTAGTTTAAAAGATGTTGTTTAATGATTTAAAAGGTGTAAATAAAAGAAATAGTTTTTATTAATAAAGAAGGTGATTTCTTTTTTTTTTACAAGATAATTCCTCAATAATTGAAAATATTTTATCCTATATGATTTATACAACACATAATAACATTTTTGTAAAATTTGAGACCAATTTAACGTAAATTGTATAAATTTATAATTATTTTATTGAATAATAAACTTTGGTTTAAAATAATTAATGAAATATAAGCATAATTTTTATCATATAAAGTTTTAAATGCTTTGATTCATATTATTAATAGAAAATAAAAATAATCATGTTTAATTAATCTAGTATTCAAAGATTAAAATTATAAAGAGAAATGAAAATAGAAATTTGATTTTATTTGATATATAACCAAATAAAAATAAAATTAAGATTTTAAGAACGATATAAATATTTTCAAAACATTATTTTATAATTCTAATTATAAAATTAAACTATATTCATTTTTCATGTAAATTAAATAGCTCTGACTTCGAAATAGATTCAAACCTCATTCTAAAAAAAATTTATAATTTAAATACGATTTAGCTTAAACAATTATATATTGATTCTGAAAACTTTAATATTTTTTATACAATAATTAAATATGATCTTTTTTATTTTAAATTTATATTTGAAAGTTTCTTTCCTTTTTAAGTCAATTAACAATCTTACAAAACAAATTATAGTTATTTTGTAATTTATTAAGATTACAGAAAGAAATTGTAAATTATATAGGCTTTTGAATTCTTTAATTTCAATTAAAATTGATAACTTTAATTGTGAATGCAAAGACTTTTGATAATTAACTTTATAAGGTTTATTCTTATAAAGAGAGTACTATCATCTTATTTTTTCCCTTTAAATGAGTAATACTAATATTTTACATATCAATTTAAAAGTGGAAGAGAGAATTTTAATAATTTCGAAGATTTTAGTTATGGAATTTGGAGTAAATATCTACCTTTGAGTACAATTTCATAAGTTGGTATGATTGGCATGTTTGATAGTCATTGTTTTCATTAACATTCTATAGTAGAAAATTCAACTTAGGAAATTAACTTAGTCTACTATGATTGTATTGATGAATTATAAAATACTGTCTAAAAGAAGATTTCTTTTATAAGCATTAATAATTAACAAATAAATTTTAAGTATTATATTGATCCTATGAAATATGAAAATAATTGGTATTTTTTTGGGATTGTAATTATTCCGTCAGAATAAAGTTTTAGGTTTTCTATTTTATAAGGAGAAATTTTAGTAGGAAGTGAACTATTCTAAATTTAAAATCAATTCAAAGATTAAGAATTAAAGATTGTTTTTGGAGGAGGTTTAATTGTAGAACAATCGTAAATTCTCAAAATTAAAGAGACTTCTTAACTTTCTTATTTTCCAGGAAAATTAAGTGTATTATACCCATCATAAAGTATTAGAGTATATAATGATTTTGGATATGATTTATTAAAAAGATATTCGATAATGTACAATCCAGAATGTATTTGTGATATTAATTAAATATAAAATTTACCTGATTTTTAAATTACTAAGGTAAATCAAGATATGTTTGCTTCAGAAAATAAAAATTGTGATGAATTTTCATTAGAAACTTGGATTAAAATTGAAGATTTTCGTATAGTGGATTAATAATTTGTTTATAAATTGATGAAACTATCAGCAAATTTTGAAAATAATTATGCTAATAATGAGAAATTATCAGCATTTTAATTATTTTATGAATTTTAAGATTCTTAAATAAAAATAATAGTTACTACATATAACATTTTATTTCCACTAGTTGATTATTATATGGAATAATAGTTATTAAAAAAAGAATGGATTATTAATAATAATATTAAATTATGGCATTTTTTATCTGTAATTTTAAGTTAAAATGTATTAAATATATAGATAACATTTTATGAAGGATTTCATTAAATTATATATGAAACTTAATTTATTGTTAATTAATTTCATGAAGTTTAATTTAAATTTTAATATGGAAATTTATTATAATAATCATCTAATTATTTAATTGGAATATTAAAGAGCATAAAATTTGTAAATAATGTACCTAATTTTAATAATGTAAAAGCTTGTCATTATAGTTGTGAGGAATGTGAAGGTCCAACAAAAACAGATTGTTTATCTTGCCCTAATAATTCTAAACGAATTTATGTTCAAAAATATAAAGTATGTTTATGTCCATTTAATTATATTGATGATATAGAATGTAAGGGTTTAGAGGATTATTAATTATTTGCTTAAAATTTAATATAAGATTTAAAGTAAAAATGTCCTTAAGGATATTTTAATTAGGGTGAATAGTGTTAAAAATGGTAATAAATATAGAATATAATGTAGTCCTTCTCATATTAAGGATAATTTTATAACATGTTTAGAATGTATTTAAAATCCAAATGATTGGTAAAATAATCCTTATTGTTAAACTAATTTATATATGGATGATACTGAAAGTCCAGCTAATTATTTAATTGATTAATAACGAAGTTTTTATATATTTGATGGAATTTAGACAAAACTTTGTTAATTATGTTTAAATCAAGATTTATATAATATTGAGAATATTTATAATGACTTTTTGGAGACAAATATAATATTTAATAAATTATGTTTATAATCAAATCGAAATTCAAATTGTTATTCTTGTTCTATTAATAATTGTGAAATATGTTTTATGGAATTATCATAATAAATTTGCTTAAAATGTTTTAAGTTCCATACTTTAGTAAATGGAAATTGTAATTAAAATATTCGTGGTTTAAGATTAATAAACAATTGCACAATGCCTTATTATATTACATCTGAGATGAATTGTAAATTATGTGAAATAGAATATTGTTAATATTGTTTTGAATATATAAGTAATGATTTAAGCAAATCTACACTATATAGTTAATTTGAAACCTTTAAAATTGATGAATTTCATAAAGTAGGTTGTGCATTATGTTAAAAGGGATTTATATTTGATTTTATAAAGGGAATATGTATATATTAATAATCAACACTTCCAAATTGTTTGAGATCTTTTATAAATTTAATAGGTTAAGAATAATGTACTTTATCAGCTATTTAAGATTTTTAAATTGCTCCTGAAATTATAAATTGTTAACGTTATATATCTAATTGTAAATAATGTATCTAAACACCTTAATCAATTGTTAAATGTATTATTTGTGAAGATGGATATTCAAGTTCATTAACAACTGGTCATTGTACAATATGTTAATAAGAATATGCAAAAGTTTGTATAGAAGGAGACTATACAAAATAAGATGCTTGGATTTAATTAATACAAAGTTTCTTAATGCAATTCTTGCCAAATAAATATTTTTATCCTAAATCAACACAAATTTAATATATAACACCTTTACCAATTTAATGTATTGATAATTATGAACTAAATTAAAATTTTTGTAGATTATTTTGTGATTAAAATTGTATTTTATGCAAAAAAGAAATAATACCCTATGATGGATTTATTTGTAAAAAATGTTCTCTAAATTATTATATGGAACATTTAAAATCTATAAAAAAAGGAAAATGTATTACTTGTCCTTTACTATGTTAAGTTTGTTAAGAAAGAACAACTTAAGAGATTTAAGTATTAATTAATATTATTTAATTATAGTAAATTAATCCTGAATTCTTAATAAATGATTTCAATATCATTTACACCTATAAATGTATCTAAAAAAGACAAAACTCAAATGTTATTTTAGATCCTTATTATTAGATTGCTAAATATTGTTTTAATGATAAATGTGATAGTCTAATATCATATACAGTAAACTTATTTTTCAATTATTTTTAGGTAAACAATTGTAATTTTTAAATTTTTGATGAATCTGGATATGGTAATATTGAGGAAGAAATCAATTTTCAATACTTAAATCATATTGGAACATAAAAATTTTAATTAATTATTCTTATTTAAGATAAATGTTCCTTATATGAAATGGATATTTAATGGTTATCACTCACTAATAAATTAAGAAAAAATATTTTTTCCTTAATTTGGGTAGATCTGATATTTTAAGGAAATCATTCTCCAGCCATATATGAATCAAAAATAAAAATATATAATTTTGATTCTATAACTTTAGACAAAATATTATTTTAAGTATTAGAATCTTTAGAATTATATATACCTAATTATAATACAACTTTAATAATTACTGATTCAAATTTTTATGCTATAGATAGTAATCCAAAAAAAATATAAATTTAATTAGAACAATGTTTTCATTTTGAATTCAGGAATATTACCTTAAGAGATTTAAATCTGTTAAACTCTGTAATTTTTCTAATATAATTTCAAACTTACGATAATAATATCAACTTATTGGATTTTACAATTCGAAATTGCAATTTGACTAATACAACTATCTTCTATTTAAACAATCTCCCTAAAAAACTTGTTATTTAAAATGTTAGAATTGAAAATTGTTAATTTTATAATTCAACGATTTTTAATCTTATATAAGATATTAATACTCACTCAAATATAAATTTTAACTTATTACAAATTACTGAATCGACTTTTTTTAATTCAATTTTAATTAATAGCAAATATATCAATTTACTTAATTTTTCTCAAATTTTATTAAAATAGAACTAAATTGAAATTTCTAAATTTTTATAATTTTAAAATAGTCTAATTATAAAGAATTTCAAATTAGAAGACAACTAATTATTTTAGTCATTCATATTTTATAAAATGTAAGAAAATTTAAGATAAATTAATTTGTAAATGGATTCATTTGATATTTAGAATAACGTTTTAATTAATACTTCATTAGTTTTTATGGAAAAATAATCAACTATTTATTAAGTATACATTAATTTAACTAACTTTTACCTTAATGAAAACAGAATTCCAAAAGCAGTAAATTTTTCTACATTTTTATTTCATATTACTTGTTATAGCATATAAATAAAATAATTTTAAATAATAAATTCATATCATCTTCAATACTTTTATCTACTAAGTGTTACTTTAATTAATGTAGAAGATTTATTATATGCTAATTAAATATAAAAAAATAGAGTAGCAAAATCTATTGAATGTTTAGAAAATAAAATAGAAAATTCACAATTATTTTAAATTTAAGGCTTTTCTTATATATCTATAGAAAAGATACAAATTAAAAACCAATATAGCATAGACTAATCATTTATTTAAATAGTATCTGATTCATTAGCAATAGTAAGTTAAAATGAGAAAATTAAAATAAAGGATTTTTATTGTATAGGAAATATAATATTAAAAAAAAATTTAGGTTTTATGATCTCATAATTAGCGATATACTCTGAATAATATCAAAAAATTGAATTAGATAACATTCACTTTTCAGAAAATAGTTTTAATCAGTTTTACGATGATCCAGCATAAACTACATCTAGTTTATTATTTATTAACTCTTAATAAAGTTCTGTATTTATTGAAAATTTAATCTCATAAAAAAATGCATTAACAAATTCAACCAATTCATTTATCTATTTAAATGTTATTTAAATCCAAATTATTAATTTGTTTGTGAGTAATCATAATTAAATAATTCAATCATACTGGAATTAATATTTTAATATAGATTTTAATCAAAATTTTGATTAAGAAATAATTAATTAAATAATTAATAAAGTATTTACTATTTAGAATAAAGGAGGTGCATTATCAATTATAACAGAATAAATATCTATTAAGAATTGTTATTTCAAAGAAATATTGGCACATAGTAGTTTTATACTTGATATAATTACTTTAGGTTAAGGGATTGTTTAAATATAAAATTGTTCTATTAAATAAAGTTAAAATATTTATTCATAAGTTGGAGAAGTTGATGGAGCTATATCAATTTATTCAAAAAATAGTTTATTCTATTTAAATTTTTAAGACATAACTTTGAGAAATATACATAATAGGTTAAGCTCATCAATTCTATCTATAATTCCTTCTACTAAATAAAATGTATTAAAATTTAAAAATATACTAATTGAAAATTGTTTTTCGTTAATGAATCAATTTATGAAAATTTAATTTTAATTATTGAGTATTTAATCAAATATTGTTGATATCTAGAATATTTCAATAATTTAAAATGAAAATTATTTGGTTGAATACTTTAAAAAAATTGGACTGATAACTATTTATGAAATTTAGAAAATAACAAAAGATAATGCTTTTATAAATCTTTAAGGATGTAACTTATCAATCTAAAATTTAACTTTTTAAGGAATATTATTATATCCAATATTAATAATTATGGATTCATAATCAATTTATTTGGTAAATTTTATGATTTATGAAATTAAATCATTTTATCCCCTTAATATATTATATATAGGATAAATATCATCTATAAATTATTAAGTCTTTATATAAAATATTGAAATTATTAATTTATAATTATTTGATTACTGTAAATCCTAGACTGTTATAATTGAATAATCTAAATTATAAGTAGATGACTTAAAGTGTAATATAAATTTTACAATTATTACATAAAATTAAAATAGTCCTTTAAAATTATCTTGGATTTTAGATTAAATTGTTCTATTATCAAATAAAAAGGGATCTATAATATATTTTTCAAGTATGCAATCTTAAAACAAGATTAAATTATTTTAAATACTGATATTTAATAATGATTGTTAAAATTGTTGGAATGGAATAATATTTTTTGATTTAATCTAATATTCTTCAATTTATATATCTGAATTTTAGTGTATAAAAAATATAATAAAGAACAATGGATGCATAGTTGCTAAATCATTAAACTAATAAGAATCTAAATTATGTATTATAAATTCCATTTTTAATATGAATAATGGTACAATAGGAACAGCTATAAATGCTGAGAATGTAATAGTTTAAATTAAAAATTCAAAAATATTAAATAACATTGCTACTTAATAAGGAGGAGCTCTTTATCTTTCAATCAATAATAATTAATTTCTTATATCTTAAACAATAATATATAATAACAAAGCTTTAACAGCAGGAGCAATTTATTTCGAGGGAAATAACAATATAAATGAATATAATTTTCATAATTCCTGGATGAAATTAAATACTGCATAACTATAACCAGATAATATTTAAGAAATGCCAACCTAATTAGTTTTATCAATTAATGATGTTAAAATGAAAACAATTTAGAAAAAGATAAATAATTTTTACAGAAACTCTTTGATTTTAAAACCTTATAAAATAATATAACAAGGAAAATAATATTTTTCAAAAGAATTACTTATCCCTAGTAATTAAGAAATTATTAATTATAAAATTTATAATCAAAAGGAACTCAAATTTCAAAAATATATTGAAGAATTTTCTATATCTTATCAAAATAGTTTATAAGAATATTTATCAAATTTTTCAAATTCTTCATGTGATGTTATCATATAAACTTTATCAAATAATATTTTAGATATAATCGATTCAAAAAAAGTTGGATCAGTTTAATATAATTTTGAAACAAAAAACTTTGATTTAGGTAAATTATCATTAACAATTGATCCGTATAAAAACGATAACTATATTTAATAAATTTAGATTATTTGTCATCTTAATTAAGTTGATAGTTTATTGTATGATATTGAAATTAAAGGATTTATGTGTTAATTAGGAGAATTTTATGTTTTATAAGGTTGTTAAATATGTTAGCCAAATTAAGGCTATTACTCAGTTACTTACAATACTACAAAATGTTCGATTTTTGATTAAAATAAATTTAAATCTATAACTTCAAATTAAATTTAACTTAAAATTGGTTATTGGCGACCAAATTATTAATCAGATTATATAGAAAGTTGTTTTAAATTATAAGAAAATTGTGAAGGTGGATGGTTTGTCTCAAACGATTTATGTAAAATAGGTCATATAGGAGGTTTATGTGAAGAATGTGATATATATAATATAAGAGGATAAGGAAATTATTATAAAAATTAATTAAACTCAATTTGTCAAGATTGTAGAAATTCCAAGGATAATGTTTTACCTTTTATATTTACTTCAATATGGTAATATACTATTATATAAATAATTTAGGGTTATAATTTCCACTATCTTAACCTTAAGAAGTATTGACAAATCAAATAAATTATTTTCTTCTTTAAAAATAAGATAAAGATTTGCAAAAATTATCTTTAAGTTAAATTAAGGTAACTTTATAAGATAATAATTAGATCATGAAAGTATTTTACTTAAATTATTTCTTAATTATGTTTGGATATTTTCAGTAATTTTTACTTTTAATATTAATTTTTAATTTTCTTTTTCATTCATAAATTAAACTAGTAACACTTCTTATTTTATGGCTAATAATTTGGATTGTTTTTTATCTGAGAACTAAAATATCTATTTAATTTATAATAGAATAATAACAACAATTTTATTAATGATAGTCTAATTATTATTGATTTATTTAGGATTTTAAATGTACTGTATAATAAAAAAGTAAAAATTTAATAGCAGTATGATATCAACAACATTTTTATATTTATATGTTTCAAATTATGCTTCATTAATAAAACAGTAAAATTAATAATTTATTATCTTAGATTTTTTTCTTTGTTGGCAACAAGAATTATTTCTAATATAGAGTATGTTTAAGGAGATGTATCCTTATATTATTATTCAACAAATCATTAAAAATGGATAATTGGTTTTGTATCTCCAGGTTTAGGTTTAGTTGGATGTCTAATACCGTTTTCTCTCTTTTTTCTTTTATACTTAAAACGAGAACACCTAGATTAAATAAAATTTAGGAGACATATATGTTATTTATTTAATGAATACAATAATGAAAATTACTTTTGGGAATGGATTAAATTATGGAAAAAAACAGTCATAATAATAATTATGACATATTTTGAAACCAATATATTTTTAAAAGCTTCATTACTTGGATTATGTTTGTTTCTCTATTAATTATATGCAGTCAAACAAAAACCTTATATAATTAAAAATTTAAATCAACTAGATGTATCTACAGGATAAATATGTTCTGTTGCAATATTTTTAGCCTCTATTAATTATGTTAGTGAATAATAAGAAAATTTATATTCATCAATGTTTATATAATTGCTTTTGGTTTTACTTTGTTTAAAATTGAGTTTTCCATTTTTTATTGATTTATTAAGGGTATACTACAAAAAATACAAAATTTCAATGTTAAATAATTTATATTAAGTTTTGAAATTCATTAAATAAAATTCATGTCTAACTCTTTATGTAAATAAGTTAATTATTAAAATGAAGTAAAGAGAGTTCAAATTAAAAACAAATATAATTAAATTAAGATATCATTTATTATAAATATCTAAGTTTTAACTAGAATAATAAAAGTATTAATTTTATTAAACTTAAGATCTTTAGTGAATTTATTAAATTCTGAATCAGTTTCAAGATAAAGGTAATTTAGTTTTGAATATTATGGATAAAAGATTTTAAAATTAGATACAAATTGAATAATTTCTACATTTATACAATATAAGAATTAATAATCTTTTTAAATACATTTACTTAGTTTTTTCCTATGTATATCTTTGTTATAATGAGACCTACTTAGTATAGCCATTTTATTAAATTAGATATGTTCTATAATTATTTATTTATATTAACAAATTTAGAATTCTAACTATCTTATTAATTCTTCTATCGAATTATATCTTTTAATTCTATTCCAATCATAAAAGTTGGAATTACAAAATATCAAAACAGTACCTGAATTTTGTTTTAATTTTAATAAATCTTTTACTGCAAAAAAATCTTAAATCTACATTATTTTTAATTGATTGAGATAAAATATCTGATAAAGGAATTTATAAATTTCTATTAAAATATTTTTTTATGAGAAGAAATAAATATTAATCTTGATTTAAAAATAGGTTGTTGATAACATTTAATAAAAAATTATAGAATTTTATAATTAACTAAAAATCATAATATTAAAGAATCAATCGATATTAATTAATGGATATTTTGTAATAAAATTCAATTTTTGACACTAGTTGAACACATAATTGGCTAGATTAGTTTTACTGTCGTTAAATAATTACTTCATCAATAAATATTGGATATAAAAAACCAGAGGTTTGATTTACTTTATCTAAATCAATGTTCAAATATTGTTTGAACATTTAGAGAATTAGTTAAAGCCATATCAATGATATTACTATCTAATATATTCAACAAATATTTTTAAATCACTGAAAAGTACTTTTAAATCAACTTCAAAGGTATGAAAAACTTTTAATAATTTATTTTCGATAATAGATTTTAAAGATTAATAATAGACTTATCTATTACATAATCTGAATCTATTGCAGATGATTAAAATGTGCAAGTAAATAATATTTTTATATTAATCTACTTTATCTCTATGATGTTATTATCATTCTTTATCTGTTTCTACATTAAATAGCTATTTTTTTGATTAAACTTCCTAATGATATTAAGTTAAGATTGCTTTGCCATCATCTTTGTAATTTTTTAAAAACTATTAAACTCCCTAATTTAAGGAAATCTGTATATTTAAATATTTATTGAATTAATTATTCATGAATTTTCTTATTGATTATCTAATTTGAAAACAATTGAATTAATTTCCATTCAAATTCATATTTCTAATCAATAATTAAATATTGATCGATGCAGAGAGAATATTTTTGTCAATATTTGTTAGATTTCCATTTAAAATTTTTCTTCTAAAATAGATATTATACTAAATTTTCGAATAATTAAGAAAATATAATGAATTTATGTAATAAAAATTATTATAATATTTTTGACTTTTGAAAACATAATATTAAGTAATAAAATATGAATTAAAGTGAAATTCCTTCAAAAAAAATTTGTGTTTAATAAGAGTATAGAAAAGAGATAGAGATTGAAGATAACCTTAGAAAAGTTAAAATACAAGTGAAATATACAAAAGATTAAAAAATAATTTATTCAAGAGATGAAATAATTTTAAGAGTGTAAAAGTTTATTTTAAATTAAAAGGGAAGAAAATAGAAATAGTATTTTTAACCCAGAAACATTTATAAATATTGAATAAATAAAAAATCTTGAGTGGTAAATTGAAAAGGGATAAGGAGATCAAGATATTGTTAAATGGATTGCTTTATGGAATGGAGAAGTTTTAATGAATGTTGGTGGATATTGTTATAATGGTTTAAAGCAAGGTATTTGGAAAGAATTAATAAAAAATTATTCAAGGTAATATTATTTATATCGAATAATAATTAGTAATTCTTAAGTTTATGAAGTTGGAGAATACAATAATGGTATAAGAATAGGTAGATGGTTTTATATTTACAACAATAAACAGATGTAATATTTTAATAGAATAATTTAGCAACCATGGATATTATAATGAAGAAGGTGTTAAATAGGGTAAATGGATTGAATTGAGGGATAGATTTATGGATGATTTTTAAGCATATTATAATGGTGAATATAATATTGATGGTAAATAAATTGGTATTTGGGAAATCATGTATAAGCAAGATGGAGAGAAAGATTATAAATAAATGTAAAAAGTTAAATTATGTTAGTGTTGGAGGATCATATCATATAAAAGAAAACTTTTTAAGAAAAGTTGGGACATGGATTGAATTGTCAGAGGGATTCTGTTCAAAATCATAGATAATTTATAAGGGTGAATATAATATATATGGTCAGAAAATTGATAGATGGAATATTATGTATAAGGAATTTTAGAAGAAGAAATATAAAAATCTGTATCAATATATTAGCATTAAAATAGTGGAGGTGGAAATTATTTTGGAATTGAAAAATACTCCATAAAGACTGGAAAATGGACTGAATTATCAGATGGTTATGATTATAATAAATAAGTCACTTATATTGGTAATTATGATTAAGAAGGACAAAAAACTGGTTTATGGAAAATTGGTAGAGAGGGATAACTTAGTGATGGAGGATTATATAGAAAAATAAATGGAGTTTCAAGATAAATTGGAAAATGGGTTGAATTGTCAGAAGATTTTAATAAGGATTTTTAAGTCACATATGAGGGTTTATACAATATAAATGGTTAAAAATAAGGGAGATGGGATATTTTATTTGAAGAAAATTTAGTGTAAAATTTATAATTATTTAAGTGGTGGTGGATAATATGATGATTAAGATGGTGTATCAATGAAGATTGGAGAATGGATTGAATTATTTTAAGGATTTTAAAAGAATTCTTAAGTCACTTATTAGGGTTAATATAATAAAAGAGGTATTAAAAAGGGTAGATGGGATATTAAATATTGTATCCCTGGATAAAAGGAATATAAATAAATGTAAAGATTATAATTATTTTAGTGGTGGAGGATTTTATGAAGAATAAGATTATTTATCAGTAAAGATTGGAAATTGGATTGAATTATCTTAAGGGTTTTAAAAGGATTCTTAAGTTATTTATGATGGTGAATATAATAGAAATGGTATAAAAAAAGGTAGATGGGATATTAAATATTGTATTGATGGATAAAATTTATATAAATAAATGTAAAGTCTAAATTATTATTTTAGAGGTGGAGGATCATATAATCAAAAAGATGGTTTTGCCATTAAAATTGGGATGTGGATAGAGGAATGGGTGAAATTTGGATATATGAAAGAAGTCATTTTTAAAGGAGAATATAATATGAAGGGTTTTAAAAAAGGAAGATGGGACATTCTCTATCGTAAATATGGAAGAGTAGAATATAAATTACTGTAAATATTTACAATATATAAGTGGAGGAGGAGAGTATTAAGAAGGAAATTCAAAAAAAATTGGAAAATGGATTGAATTGTCAGATAATTTTTGTGGGTTGAGTTAAGTAACATATGAAGGTGAATATAATCTAAAAGGTAAAACAATAGGTAGATGGGATATTTCACATGATGGAAAATAGATGTAAATATTAAAATCATCTTAGTGGTGGAGGATAATATTAAGAACAAAATGGAATTTCTATCAAGGTTGGGGATTGGCTTGAGTTATCAGAATAGTTTAGAAAATTTAATTAAATAGCTTATTAAGGGAAATATAATGATTAAGGTTTAAAAATTGGTAAATGGGTCAAAATGAATCTTAGAAATTAATAGAATTCAAGCTAAATCAAATTTAAGTATTGAATACNTATTTTAAGGATTTTAAAAGAATTCTTAAGTCACTTATTAGGGTTAATATAATAAAAGAGGTATTAAAAAGGGTAGATGGGATATTAAATATTGTATCCCTGGATAAAAGGAATATAAATAAATGTAAAGATTATAATTATTTTAGTGGTGGAGGATTTTATGAAGAATAAGATTATTTATCAGTAAAGATTGGAAATTGGATTGAATTATCTTAAGGGTTTTAAAAGGATTCTTAAGTTATTTATGATGGTGAATATAATAGAAATGGTATAAAAAAAGGTAGATGGGATATTAAATATTGTATTGATGGATAAAATTTATATAAATAAATGTAAAGTCTAAATTATTATTTTAGAGGTGGAGGATCATATAATCAAAAAGATGGTTTTGCCATTAAAATTGGGATGTGGATAGAGGAATGGGTGAAATTTGGATATATGAAAGAAGTCATTTTTAAAGGAGAATATAATATGAAGGGTTTTAAAAAAGGAAGATGGGACATTCTCTATCGTAAATATGGAAGAGTAGAATATAAATTACTGTAAATATTTACAATATATAAGTGGAGGAGGAGAGTATTAAGAAGGAAATTCAAAAAAAATTGGAAAATGGATTGAATTGTCAGATAATTTTTGTGGGTTGAGTTAAGTAACATATGAAGGTGAATATAATCTAAAAGGTAAAACAATAGGTAGATGGGATATTTCACATGATGGAAAATAGATGTAAATATTAAAATCATCTTAGTGGTGGAGGATAATATTAAGAACAAAATGGAATTTCTATCAAGGTTGGGGATTGGCTTGAGTTATCAGAATAGTTTAGAAAATTTAATTAAATAGCTTATTAAGGGAAATATAATGATTAAGGTTTAAAAATTGGTAAATGGGTCAAAATGAATCTTAGAAATTAATAGAATTCAAGCTAAATCAAATTTAAGTATTGAATACTATATATAAAAGTATTTATTAAATATTTCTCTTTATAAAAAGAGTTTTTGTTTTATTAATTATTTTTTATTTTTGGTTTTTTTTCAAATATTTTTATATTTTTTCAAATTACTATATGTCTTTTTTCGCTTTATCTGTAAATTCATAAAAAAAAATTTTTTATTCTTTCATTAAATTTTCATCCAAAAACTATCTATATCGAATTTTATTTATTTTTTTGTAATACTCTTGTTTTCTTTGAATTCAGACTATTTTTTGTCATAAAACAAAGATTTTCTCATAATAATATTATTTTATAAATATCAGCTACATATTTTAATGATCCTCAATTTGTTTGTTTAAAATGTTTAAAACAATAATTTAAAAGTTTTCATAATCATTCTCTTATTAAGAAACAATAGTTTATATAAATATTTTATATCATAAATATCAATCAACTTTCATCTGCAACTTCTTAAATTGTTTTAAGTTACTTCTTCTCACCTTTTCGAAGTACTTTAATTCCAGCCTTTAAATTATTCCATTTCTCAATTACAAGCTTTCTATTCATATTTAATATTTCTTCATCAATTATTCTGTTATTATCATTCTCTTCCCATTTCATTAAATCCATATCTAATTATTTAAGCTTCTGGTAAACATCATTTCCTTTTATCATTTATTTCATTTATTCTACCAAATCATTTAACAAAGAATTAATCAAATGAATATCAAGTGAGTTTGTAATACTTTATCTTGCCTTTAACAATTTTCTATATAAATATTTATATTACCTTTATAATGTTATACTTAATTACAATACTTCGTTTAAATTTTAAACATTTTTGCTCAGATGCCTATTTAAATCTCTTAAATTTTAACACTCTTTTATAAGACTTTATCCCCCTTTCCCAATCTAGAAATACTATAAACTTCTCAAAAATTATAAATTTCTCCTCACTTATTCTATCAAAGTTATTTTATGATCATTTTTAAAGCCTTTCCACTTTTTTATTAAGTTTTTTATACTCTCAATCTTATAATCTGACTCTGTCTAATAATTATTCCATAATTATATACATTTCTCATACCATTCATCTTATTCTTATTCTGATTTAGTATTTATTATTTCTACTTCAATTATATCCTCATCCAAATAACCACTAAGTGAGATCAATATATTTTTCTTTTTTTATATTTCTTACTTATTCTTTTAAATTTCTATAACTAATATCTCTTGTAATTTCAATAATTTTTTCAATTATTCATTTTATTTTAATTTTTCAATCAGACTCTTTATAATCTTGAATTATTATGTATTTAATAGATTTATTGCAAATATTACCAAAAATTATTATATTTGATCTTAGTAATATTTTACACAGCAAAACTCATAAAATTCAAATAAATATATTAAATATTCTTCAACAAATTATAAATTTTTTAATTAAAATATACCCATCTTTATTTTACAATTTTAATCATCATCAATATTCTAAATATTGTTCAAATATCCTTTGTAAATTTTCAATATTGTTAATTTCTATTAACTGTAACATAATATTGACAAAAGAAGATTTAATCCAATTCTAATTATATGACATAATTGTTCATCTAAATAAAATCTATCCATTACATATTAACTATAATCTAAAAAACATCCTAATGCATCTTCTGTTATTCCAAAATGCTAACATTCAAGAAATTCAATATATTTGAGATATGGAATATATTTATCTTAATCTTTTTTTTAATTTTATAAAATAAGAACTGCAAAAGATAATTAATCAGTCAAATTTAATAAATTAATTGCTTTTGTTATATTTGAATGTAAATTATCCTTCTTATTTTTAATTTATATTATTAAATTCAAAGATATCTCACGAATTAAGTTTTTGATGTATTAAGGTGTATTAATTATTCTTAAATTACTTTTCAAGATCATTCTATGAATAATATTTATAATTAATGATGGTTCAGAATTAATAATTGAATATTCTTATTATGTAAATCTCTTTTTAAAATAAATTTATAATGGATGTAATTTTTTTAATTAATATTCTATTTTTTTATATTTAATTTTATCTTAAATCTTTTAATTAGATTACTCAAGCATTAAAAATACTAATAAATCAGCTAAAGTATCTTCTTAATCGTCTTAAAAATCTAAAGTGAAAGAATCATCATTAACTGGATAATAATCCATTTGTTTTTCTGCTTTATTATTTAAAATTAATTGAATCTACTAAGTAAATGAATTTATTATATATTAAATAGCTAATTCAAAAGGAATAGAAATGTATTCATATCCTATATCTACAAACATTAATGAGTTTTTTGTTATTTAAGTATTTTAATTATTTTAATCATCATTTATTATTTGCTTCATTAGTTTAGATGAAATATGCATAAATATAGAATGAGAATAATGACTCATAATTTCTCCTTAAGGAATTGAAAAACCGTAACAAAATAATAAAGCTTCGTTAATGTTTTCTTAAATTTAACATTAAATTAAATTATTATGAGAATATTCTAGTATCTAAAATAATTCTATAAATTTCTCATCTGTGTAATCTATTTTAGATTTTAGCAGTTCATAAATAATTATTATAGCTTCTATTTATTTAAGTTTTTCAATACAAGACATTGTTTTCTAATAAATTTTAGCATTAATAATTAATTAATCTATATCTGTATCTTCCATTATTTAGTTTTATTTTATATAATAATTCTTTGTAATTTTAAATATATCACTAATTTCATTTATCAAATCTAATATGTTATCTTATTATCCTTTAATTAATTTAATCTATTAATAATATTAAATTTTCATAAATTTGAATTCTTCTTCATTTGATAATTCAATTTTTCTGTTTTATTAAATTGTTTTAAAAATTTGAATAGAATCTGAAAAATTGTTGAAAGACATACATAAATCTATAGAATGTTTAAAATTTAATTAATATATAAAGGTTTTCCAAAAGCCTAATCCTATTAATTCTTGATAACAATTCAATCCTAAACTATTGTTAAAATTCAATTCATTATCATTTTTAAAAGTTAAGAAAATAGGATTAATTGTATCTAATATATTATTAATTGCAATTTAAGAAATAGAAGATTATTCAAGAAGATTTTTTCTAAAAGATCCTAAAGTTGCCATTTAAACATTAACTAATGATTTAGTTTTTGCTAATGGAGAATAAATTGATACAAGAGAAACTAAATATCTTCCTAAAAAGGATGCTAATTTAAAAGAATTACATAAGTAAATACATAATTTATAACTTTTAAATTACTCTAATATATCTAACATCATGTAAATTGAATCTATATCAATATTTTCTAAATCATAGACAAAATTTATGATATGATCAAACTCCTTATCATCATCTTTTCTATTAGATAATTGAATTGCTTTATATTTTTATTAATCTAAATGATTTTTAAATTCATTTGAGAATAATAATAATTTTTAAATTAATTATTATAAGACATTATTAGTAATAAAAATATTATTCTTAAACTTCAATAATTAAATTTATGGAGGTTAATTAAGAAGTACAATATTAGAAAATTCTGATTAATGACTGATTTTAGAAGACATAGATTATATGATAGTTTTTTAATCACATTTTAACCATTCATCTTCAGGATCAAAAATAGATAAATGATCCATATTTTATTCACTTTCATTTTCAATTTAAAAAGATTATGATAAATCTTTCTCTTCATTATTTAAAATTTCAACACTGGATTCATTATTATTTAAATCAATTATTTGATTGAATTAAGAATTATCTTAGTTTTTAGATTCTTTAATTATAGAATCTTATATTATAAAGCTTTCTGTTTAAATAGAATTTTCTACATTATTAAATTCTTCTTATTCTTAAGTTAATTCAATTTAATTATCTTGAATTTTTTATGTCAAATTTTATAAATAATTAGGAAAGAATTAATTTAAAAATGTCTATCTTTCTTATTGGCTAAATTCTTATTTATAATTGTTTAGAATAATAATAACATTATCCCAATCTTAAAGTAAAAAGTAACAATCAAGAGCTCTTCTAATTTCTCCTGATATTTCAAAATTTTTAGCTGCTTTTTAGTAATTTTGAGCAAAAAATGCTGATTCAGCAATTTCATTTATTAAACCTAATTTTTCATATAATTCTTAAGCTTTTTAAAATTATTTAGCAGTGAAATAACATTAAGCTGCTCTTAACAATAAACCAATTTCTTCAAAAATAATGGCTGCTTATAAAAACTTTTCAGAATCATTAACTATTGCATTATTGACTACAATATTATAAGCAATAGATTTTTTTTCTAATTCTTATTCTTCTGCAAATTTGAAGCATTTTGCTGCTTAATCATAATTATTCATTCTAAACATTTTAAAACCTTATCTTTTCCAATTTTCTTTATTATCATTTTATAATTTTAATTAAAAGATAATATCATTAGGTTGAGTTTACAAATCAATTATTTTAACTGCATTTAATTTAATCCAAATATTTTATATAACTCTTCTTTTTTCTAAAGATTAATCAAATATAATTAATCTTTTTTTAGGTCTAGTAATTGCTACATAAAGTTATTTTAATTCTTAACATAAATCAATAGACATTTATTAATCTTATATGTGATTTTTCATTTTTAATTACCAAATTTCTATTAATTCATCTATTTTCTATTATTTAGAGGCTATCACTTCTGTTTCATGAACTATTTATATATAATAATAAAATTATTACTTGTAATAAATTTTTCATAATCATTCTTCTTTAGATATTCTGCATATGCTTCTAAATTGTTAATTTAATCCCAATCCTTAATTAATGTAGTTGAATCATGAAAAAAGTTAAATAAAATAACATCATCAAATTCTAAACCTTTAGCTTCATAAATAGTTAAACATAAAATATTTTATAATTCTATTGGTAATTTTGTTTTAGATTCTTAATCTTTAACAATAATAACTTAATTACAACCAAATTCAACTGTTTTATTATCATTTGAAAAGAAATCACAAAGATTACTTAATAATTGTTTAATATTATCACTTTTTATTATTACAGGTTTAGGACCTTTTAAATTTGATGTTTCCTTTTTTAATTTATCAATTTTTTATGGAAATAATATTTCAATCATTCTTATTACAGAATTAGCTAATTATAATATTTTGTTATGTGAACGAAAGTTAACATTCAAATCAAATATTTTAAGATTTCTATTTAATTTTTTTTTACTATTTCTATATGATAGTAAACAATTTTAAACTTCATAAAACTTAAATCCTATTCCTTTTGCTATATTTTAAGCATTATCTCCACAACAAAATAAACCAAGTTCTGTTAATTAATCTAATAATATTAAAACAGCTCTAGGAACATCTTATAATTCATCAAGTAATAAATAATGAACATTTTCAATAATATCATTACCAAAAGCTAATTCTTAATTAATATGATTAACTATATCTAATAAATCATAATATCCTAATTAAAATTTTAATTCTTCATATTTTTAGAAAGCTTAATAAATAAAACTACATTATTCCTTTGATAATCCTTACATATGAAAATAATTATCAAAATTAATATATCCACCAGGATATTCATGCGATGTTTCATGACCTTTTATTTTTGTACATATTTCTGACCAAATATAAATAGGATCAAAATATTTTTTATTAACTAAAGTTTATTTCATTGTTTATAATATTTTAGGCCAAAAATTCCTTATAAATACATCTTAAGTAACTTCAAACATTTTAGTTTAAATATAATCAGAATTATCAATTTCATCCATTAATCTTTAATTTAATTATTCCAATTTCTTTTACATAATTTCATCATTCTAAATATTGTAATTTAATATCATTTATCCACATTATTCATTATGCCATTCAGAAGTTTTATTACGGTTATTACCAAACATTTAAAAATATGAATTAATAAGAGAACCATCAATCAAAAATAGAAATTTTCTAAGTGTTAAAAATGTTGGAAATTAATTTATATCAGAAAATCTTTAAAATTTTCCCATTTCTTTTTCATATTCATTTAATTCTTAATCATTTACTTCTTCTTCCTAATTTAGTTTTTATGATCCTTACTACTCTGAATCATTTTATATTGCATTTATAATTTAAAATGTACTTTAATCCATGTCATTCTATAAATTCTAAACTTAATTTTCTTCATAATTTTTGTTTTTCTATTTTTTTTTATTATTAATAACATCCTATATATTTTATACTAATTTATCATATAATCTTTTAACTTAACAAGCTAATAAAGGACTAGCTGTAATAAATGCAGTTTTTAATTTACAACCTTATTATTCTTAATTAAGTTATATATCATCTGTTGATTTATTAATTTACTCTAATTTACTTCTAATTTTAAATAAAATGTCTGTTGTAAATAGTCTCAATAATGCACAAGTTGTTTTTCCTGTTCCACTTCTTCCTATTACTAATCCATCTCCATTATATGATATTATCTCTTATTGTTAATTTGTTAAATTTACTTTATAATTAGGAATATTTTATATTATTTTTAATAATTAATATGAAGATGGTTATTAACTGTATTTCTGAATCAAATAATGATTTTCACTAAATTAATTTATTCTTTCTTATTTTCTATTTAAAATAATTTAAGTTGAAATAGGAATCCATCTTTCAAAATTTTTATTATAAACATAATCCTAATCATTCAATAAAATAGGTTAAAATTATCTTGGAATTAATCTATCTTTCCAAAACTTAGGTTTCTCTCCTATTTTTATTTCATTTAACATCTATTAATCATTTATTTTCTCTTTTACTAATTTCATATTTGTAAAAAAATTAGGAGATGTTTATTAATATCTTAAGTATTTATCAATTATATTAATATTATTTGAATTCTATTTATTTTCAGGAACTAATCCCACTAAAATTATTTCATGATGAAATTCAAAATGTGTTAATTTTCCTTCTATATTTAGAATTGGGTATAAAATTGGAATTGCTTAAATTACTAATTTTATGCAACTTTTATTATTGAAATCTATAATATAATCATATTAAAAAGGAAATAAAACATTGCCTTTCTAATAAGGAAGAACCCTTATAATTGATGATGAAGACTAGTTGAATTTCCCTTACAATATTAAATTTAATAAAATTAAAATATGGGTGATGTCTATTTCTGATATATTATAAAGACAATTAAAAAAGCTTTCTATTTTTAAAATTTATTTATACTAGCGACATTAAATTGCCAAATTTTATTTGGAAAAAAATTTTCAATGTTTAATTTTTGAAAATATTCAATCATTTCACACGAAAATATGCTACCATCTCCTTTAATCTTTCTTTCATTAAGTTGTCTTAAGTATTAAAAGTACCGTATTAAAAATTATTTACCTGATAATTTTATGTTATATTATTGCTCAATTTCTGTGAGAATTTAACATAGTTTTTCTTAATACAGCCTACGTTTTATTTTTATATAATCCTTTGCAGAATGGTAAATATTTTTATTCATAAAATAAATTTTCATTTAATAAGGCTTTTAATATATGTCATTAATTCTTTTATAAAATTTATTAAAATTTTTTTTGTTGGGATAGTTGTTTCGAATATTCATTATTCCACATTAATTGAATATTTAATATTCTCAAATTATCAAATTATGAACAATGATAAATCCATTTTACTATTATTTAAGCATACTTTTAAGTATATAATAAGATTTTCAGTATGTAAGAAAACCTATTAATAATTAAGAACTTAAATATAAATTTGAGTTCTTTTTAGTTGAATTTAAAATCAATTTACTGAAATAATTAGATCATTGGTTTCAATTATAATTTTAAATTTAACATTATAATCACATATTGATTGAAATGTATAAAAATAATTAAATCGAAAAATATTAAAATATTTTCATATTTTTAATCTTAACTTTCACTCTTTAAAGAAATTAAAATTAATAGAATTTTGAATTTGGATGACGAATTTAATCATATTAGTTTTTTTTTAAATTGAATTAAACTAGTATCACAAACAAAATTGGTTAAGAGATTAAATCTAATCATAGATAGCAATCCTATTTAAAAATAATTGTAAAATTTGTTAGTAATAATATTTTATAGAGGAGGCATAGAGTTTCATTAAAGACCACTAATTTATTGAATCAATTTAGAAGGAATAATTAGCTTTTTTTATAAATTTTGTGGCCAAAGACTAAGATTAATCCAGCTATGTAAATATAATATCCCTTAATACAAAATATATTATAGAAAAAGCATTGTCTATTCTACAATTAGATTGCTTTAACTTCGTTAACTTCCAATACTATTAAAAGAGAAGAATTCTTATAAATAAAATATAGAAAATAAAGTATATGAATTAAATGGAAGATTTAAAATTATCAATTTAAACTTATTTTAAGAAAGACAACAAACAATATTAGTGAATAAAATAATTATAAGTGTTAATTTATTATTCTAGATAACTACAACTACTGAATTCAAAATTTATTTTATGAATAATCAATTTAACTTCAGGCTTTGAAGAAATTTATTTTTTTAAAATATATAAAAATTTAGAATTTCATATTTACTTATAAACTAACAATAAAAAACTATTAAATATTAAAAGATGAATTAAAAATGTCTTTCAAAATCTTTGCTCTTTTAATTGAAATAATATTAAGGTATTATATGTATGATTATTGTATTTCCAAATTACCTATTTTTTCTGAGGCAAATTTTATTCAAATCTCTAATTTGAATTTTAATTAATATAAAGTCCATTCAAACAGCGGTATTGATAAACAACAATATATTTTCATGCCTAATCTACATAAAAGGTGAATAATCAATTTTACTAAATATAAATTAGAATGTTATAATTATTTATTCATAGTGAATTTTATAGTTTTTATAATATGTCATAATATTGATTATCTTAATTTTTATTTATAGTTAAAAATTTGTAATAAATAGATGTTTAAAGTTCAAATCATGTTCCATTCTATTAATGAAATCTGTTAAAAATAATCAAGAAATCATTTAAATTGTCATATAATTTTATGTAAATCATATATATTGAATCAATCATCATCAATTACATAGGTTCTTTTAAGTTATTTATGTTATTGAGAAGCGCATATTACCACAGTCCCACCTAAAAATATAAATATAGGAATAAATATTATATAAATTAGCTCCTTAATCATAATGATGATAACAATTAGGACAATTGCTATAATGTCTATAACAAGCCCTATTAAAAATAGTACCCAACAGCAAGTAGGTTCATTTTTGTTTTTTGAACATAATTTACATCGCTCATGAGCAAGCAACATTAAATTAATTATTAAAATTGTTAGATATATGATATAAATTAATTATAAATGATTTCTAAAAATTACAGTATTTCAATATTATATCACTTTAAATGATTATTATATAATTCTTTTTTGAGAATGCCTACTCAATTATTTCTATTAATGGTCTGATGTATCTCGGATTAACTATTTATTTGAAATAAATCAAATTTAAAATTTTTAGTTATTCTTTATGCTAATTATGTTTTAGCAAAGATTCAAAAAATTGTAGCTTGTTTAAATTAAAGAATTTCAAATAAGTAGAAATTTATATATAATTTTTTCTCTTATTATTAATTTCTTCGATATTTCCAATTCTATAAATTATTAATTGAAATTTAAAATTTCATCAGATCAGAAAAATATCCAATTTTTTGGATGTACTAAAAATACAAATTGTATTTTAATGCAATCATGATTCAGTAATTTTCATTAAAAAAATTGGTGAGTTTTAATAAATAAGATTATAACGATTTTTGAAAAGATTTTTAGAAATATCACTTATTGAGAATTTTAAGGATATTAATTTTCTATCAATGATTAAGTTTTAATTTTTGTAATTAATTGTAATCTAATTTAATTTTCATTTGAATATTAATAATGATTAATAAGTATTCAACAAAATACTAATCTTATCTCTTTTACACATTTTATTTAAAATACCAAAGAGACTTTTCCATAAATCATAATAACATAATAATTGATTATTTGTTATAATGATTTATTTTTGATAATCAAATATTTTTTCAAAATTAAAAATAGTTTTAATTGAAATGATTCATAATTATTAAGACAGACAAAAATTAAAGAATTTAAGTTTAAATTGGACAAAAGACATTTGATTTGAGACATCATCAAGACAAGTATTTATAAAAATAAATTTCTAAAAAAGATTTTTAAATAGTAAACAAATCATAAATAAATAATCTGAAAGATTAATAAGTAATGATTTAACAATAGTGATTAAATACTAGATAACTTGTAAGAGTCTGAAATATTAACTAAATATTAAATATTTATACCAATATTTAAGGCAAGCTTAAGTATATGAATTTTGTAATTGTTTTAATAATTTTAAATAGTGAGGATGAATAAAATATCAATCTTTGTTAAAAAGGAAAATAAATAAAACCTATGAATATTATTTAATAATTATAAATTAATATAAATTTAATGTATGGAATATAATGAAGATAGAAAGATCTATGATAATATTTTATATTTAGAGTTAATGGAGTAAATAGTCAATATTACAAGAGGACAAAATGATATTTTATAGAGTTTTTATTTCATTTTAATTAAAATATTATAAAATTTAAATTATTCAAAGATTTTTAAAAGTGTATCCTAATTTAATGTGAAAGATTGTTAATATAATAAATAATTTTGAAAAATTGTGCTAAATTCTAATTTAATTATTTAACAAGAAAGATTTTGTGAGCAGAAAGAATATAAATAAAGAAGAAGATTTCAAAACAAAAATACAATTTAATCAAAATTTAAAAAAATAACGAAATTTAAAAAATTACAAGAAATTTTAAATTATTTAATGAAATTATCAATCAAATAGATTGATGATCCCATCTTAAAAAAATGAATATCATTATCAATAATTACATCAAATTTTAACATTTTTGATTTTTATATCGACAGCTATTAAAATAATAGTAAGATACACTAAGTAAATTTATGAAAAAAATTTTTGAGAAAAATTAATAAAAAAAATATTTTATGTTGCTTCAAAGTGAAATTGAATTTGAAATTTGCAAATTATGCTAAAAGAATAAGAGGGAAGATACCTGTTGTTGGATATTATTCATAATTGGAATAATTTAAATCCTCTAGCTACAATACTAGTTTTAATTATACACATAACAAAAACAAAAGAGTATGCTTACTTAGTCATTTTGGCTATTCTATTATATCTAACTGGTTGCGCTTCTGCAAGTTGTTCATTAAGCCATAATCCTCCACCTGTTTAACCGGATGATTGAAACTTGAAATAAAATTAAAGTATATGATTAAGTAATTGATATTTATTTATTTTCATTTATTGATATATTTTCAAAGCATTTCTTAGAAGCTTAGACTTTTTTTATAAAGACAATTTTATAATAAAAAAAATATATACTATATTATGACATATTATTGATAAATTAATATTACTTATTTTTTATTAAATATACTCGGCTTATGTTTTCCAGAATATTTTATTAATTTAATGATAATAATAAAACAGATATCCTAAAAATTAGAAAGACACAAAATGCTTACTTAAAGTTTAAGTATCTTTTCAATCGTTACCATAAAATTTTTTCATTTTATATATTTTTGCTATTAATAAGTCTTATTGATTTTATTTCAAAATAAAATAGTAAATAATAACTTTATTTTTCACAATGTTTATATTTTCTAACATTGAATAAAAAAGAAGAATTATTATAGTCGCCGTAATTCTAATTAATAATTTTAACCAAAATTTAGAAATTATCACCTTTGAAATTATTCTATATTTAGAATTAAAAATTCTTGTTTCATATCATTTCTTATAAGGATTGAATTTTAAAATTAATATTTTGTAATTTAAAATCAAATTTGGAAGCTTAATTAAGGCAAATCAAAATTTTCACATTTTAATAAATCATAGATTAATCTAAATCTTTCCTCTATTGATTTATTTTCAGGTTTATTTACTTTTTCATATTTTAGATATATAAAATATTTTTTGAACAGACAAACTTTTTATGAAAGACTTTATTACAATCGTAAAATTTTTTTGCCTAGAAAAACCTCTTTATCTATTCTTTCTGATATTATAGCATTATTGTTAATAATTTAATAAATCTTCCTAATTTAGATTTTATAAACATTTAGATTGATTATTTTCAAATAAGTTACTCAGAATTTAATCTAATTATCTAATCTTATTTAATTACTAAATATTAAATAATTCACTTATATATTCATTTGATTTTTAATTAAAAATATATATTTTTATAAAATTCGTTTATATAGTCATAAAAGTAAAAGAAATAACTTTTTAGGTTTAATTGTGTTATAAATTCATTTAAGTTTTAAAAACTTTAAAATAAATCAGTAATTGATAATAAATTAATAAAATTATTGTATCTTCTCAACTATTGAAAAGTAGAATATAATCAAACATAAATAGAGTAATTAAATAGAATATACATGAAAAATATTTAGGTTTGATTTTTCAAGAAAATCTAAAGATTAATAATAATATTGTATCATGTTTCAAATAATTTAATTCCATTTTAATCATAAATGATTTCTCCTCTGTAATTAATAATAATTTTTACTCTTTATAATCTATTTTTCTTTTCTCCCAAATGCCAAATTTTTAACCTTTTTAATATATTCCCTTAAATATATTTAAGCCTGTACTAAAATTGAGGTAAAAATGATTATAAATACTTATGAAAATCATCATTTAAATCAATCCATAATCCATATTTCATTCCATTTTAATCATAAGATCCTCCACCACTATATTTAATTATTTAATAATGTTACATTTAAAAATAATTAAATTTTTCATCTCTAAAATGAATTGTCCAATTTCCTTATTTTTTTCCATTTATATATTCTCCTTTAAATGTGACTTAACTATATCTATTATAAATATAATTAGATATCTACAAAGTAGCTTATTCAGTTAAATCCTCCCATATACCATATTTGATTCCATTAACATCAAACCATCCACCACCACTTATAATATTATATTAATATTTAATTTTTACATTTTTTTTAATTTTTTAGATTTTGGATCAATTATTTAAATATCCCATTTACCACATTTTTTTCCATGTATATAATCACCAATATAAGTAATTTAATTTATTTCAGAGAAATTTGAAACAAGTTCAATCCATTTACCATCTTTAATTCCTTATTAATTAAATGCTCCACCACCTCTTATAATTTAATAATTTAAATTGAAATAATACTTTTATTCAAAATTTGCATTCTAATTAAAAAACCAACACATAATTTTCCAAAATCCTTATTTGATACCATCTAAATATTCACCATTATAGGTAATTAAACTAGAAAAACTTTTAGAATCTTTATCTAAATCAATCCATTATCCTTATTTTAATCCTTTAATGTCATAAGATCCTCCACCACTAAATTATTTAATTATTTCTTTACATTTAATCAAAATAATCACGCCACTCATGTTTAAATAAAATATTCCATCTATTTCTTTTGTTTCCATTTAAATATTCACCTTTATAGGTAATCAAAGATCCACTTTTTAATAATATTATATTATATTATCCTTACTTAAAATATTATTCACTTAATTCAATCCATATACCATCTTTTATTCCATTATTATTAAATGATCCACCGCCTCTATTTTTAAATTAATTTTTTAAATATTTACACTTATACATATTTATCTCTGCCTTATTTTTTATACATTATATCCCAGTGACCATATTTTTAACAATTTTTATACACTCCATTGTAAATAAATGAACAATAATTTGTTATATCACTCCATTAACCATTTTTTATTCCATTATTATCATATTCTCCACCTCCACTTTTAATTTAAAATTAATAAATCTTTACATTTATTCAAGCTTATTAAATAAATAATTTCTAAAAAAATTATTCCATAAACCTGTTTTCTTTCCATTTTCATAAATTCCATTCCAAATAATTTAAGTATCTCTAAAAGTAAGATGATTCAATTTATACTTTTCAAAATTATGACTTTATTCAAACCATTTACCATTCTTATATCCCATTAAATTATATAAACCACCTCCACTTAAATTTATTTATAGAACTATACATTTGTTAATTTTTAGAAGAATTTAACCAACATCCTATTTTTATTCCTTTTTAGTATTCACCAATATGTTTTATATCACATAATGATCTATTTTTAGAAAAGTAATTTTAATGTATTTCCACCCATTTTCCTATTTTTTATCCAATTTAATTATAGTAACCTCCTCCTCTAAAATTTTATCCTCAACCAACTTACATTATTTCATTTTTAAATATTATTTTCCATTTTCCAACCTTTATTGAATTCCTATAACATCCATATTGTGATATTTAAGAATAACTAAAAGCAATGAAATATAATTGTACTCCCCAAAATTTTCATCTAATTCTCTCCAAATTCCTTATTTTAATCCTAAATAATCATATATTCCTCCTAATGGTAATCCACTCATTTTCCAATATGGAATCCATTTTCCATATTTTTTATTATTATTTCCTCTCTATCCTTCCCATTTTAAGAATTTTATTTACTATAAGTTTATGATTATTTCTGCTTTTTAATCAACTTCTATTTTCTTTAAATCTTTATAAATAATACCTCTAATCTCAAAATAGCTCCATCTTTAATATATTGTATTTCTCTAATTTATTCATTAATTACAGAGAATTGGATAGATACCTATTCTTCTGGCAATTCAATATCTTATTATATTTCATCCATATTAATCCAAATTATTTTTAGAAATATATTTATTTAACTCCTTTATATAGTTCTATAGTAAAATTTGTACATTTAATCTTTTATTCCTCTTTTTATTAACTCATATCTTTAATTTATTAAATTGATTTGCATTTTTGCATTCTTTCATTAAATTATCTTTTAGTAAAATATTTTAAATCTTCTTTATGATATATAATATATTGCTTGCTTTCCATTAGTGAAAATTATAAATTTTTTATACTATTACTGATTTAGATTTTGCTTAAGTTTTTTAAATAATTTTATAAAATGGAATAATAAATAATCCATTATTACTTTAGATCTTAATATTTTTTTTATTTAATTCATTTTTGTAATTTTGCAAATAAGTTGCAAATCAATTTTAATTACTTCAATGACTTTGATTTTATTGAAGAGAATTTTTTAATATTCATTTTATAGTAAAAATTTAATTTATTATTCTTTTTCCCATTAAAAATTTTATAAAGGGGGTTTATTAAATAAATCATAGGAATAATATATTTTTATTTCAAAGTTCAAACAGCTAGAGTTGCTTTTTTTAAGGATTCATTATTTCAGTAAAAAACCTATTTTTATATGGATTTAGACTAAATATTACATAAATTATTAAATAAGATCTATTTCATAGTTGTAAATGAAAACTTAAAATGTTAATTATCTAATATAAAATAACAATGAGATTTTAAGACAAATATTGAAATATAATTTCAAAGTATTAGAAAAATTATTAAGATTCTTCTTTTATTAGTAGAGTATTACTTAAATTAAGATTATTAAATTAGAGATAATTTTATTAAGTTCTAAAATGACTTAAAAATACTTGAAAACCATTTATTAACAAATTATAAATTATTGAGATTATGATTAATATTTCTTAATAACTATTGAAGCTATTTAAAATGTGGATTTTTTTGTAAATTAAATGATTTTTATAAGTATAATTTTTTATGAAATAAAGTAGGTTTAAATAAAGTCTATTTCTATTATTTAGAAAAAGAAAAAAATATAATTCAAAAAGAACAGCATATTAGATCAGAAAATTAAATATTTCTAGATAGTGAAAACTTAGAAAATTCTAAATTTTTAAATTGAAGTCTAATTTATTTTTTTTTATATTATTATATATTTATAAATTTATGGATAAATATAGTGAGGATACAACAATAAAAGAAAAATAATCGAAATTTCAGAAATATTATCTATCTTCTATTTGTAACAAAAAAAATTAAAACTAATTTTTATGATCATATAATATTAAATTTTAGGTTTTATATATCTATCAAATCAGTCTGTTTGGTTGTTGTTGTAATCTATTTAAAGTTTTACGATAATCGAATTAGATTTCTCTTATTCTTATTCCCTATATGTAAGCCTTAAGTGTAAAATGTGGAAATATTAAACACTCTAACTGGATACTGAGATATATGAAATTGAAAAATCTTTATTTAATATATGATATTTGTGTTTATAATTATTAAGCAATCTAAATATTATAAAATTATTTTATATTTTAGTTGATAAAATAAGATAATATAGTAGAATTTTTTAAAATTCTAATAATTCTTAGGTATTGTTTATGAATATGATATATAAATTGATTTGATTATTTGGAATAATAATTCAATTTGATTATTACGTTCTTTTTGCTTACCAAGCTTGAAGATTAATAATTTTAGGGATTTCCCATGTAAATTCAGGTTCATTTCTACCAAAATGTCCACCTGAAGATGTTTTAGCATAGATAGGTCTATTTAATTATAATGATTTAATGATAACACCTGGTCTAAGATCGAAATGATTTTAGACAATTTAAGATAGATCATTATCATCTATACCTTAGATATGTGTTCCATATGAATTAACACATATAGATAATGGTTCACTAATACCAATTCCATATGCTAATTAGATCATAACTCTTTTGCATAATTTAGATGCTACTAATGATTTAGCAACCCATCTAGCAGCATAAGCAGCACTTCTATCAACTTTAGTAGGATCTTTTCCTGAGAAACAACCTCCACCATGTCCACCCCATCCTCCATAAGTATCAACAATAATTTTACGACCTGTTAATCCTGCATCACCTTATGGTCCACCTACAGTAAATGCCTTAGATGGATTTAAATAATATATAGTATTTTCATCTACATATTCTTTAGGTAATACATATCTATTAAAAATATATTAAATAATAATACTTTAAAACATGTTAATGTAATTCTGCTTCAATTTCAGAATGTGTTATTTTTTCATCATGTTATTAAGATATAACAACATTATGAATTCTAACAGGTGATAAAGATTAATCTTCTACTTTATATTCTACAGTAACCTATACTTTAGCATCTGGTCTCATCCATTAACATATACCATTATTCCTACATTCCTATAATCTACCAATTAATCTATTGCATAAATTGTGACTTAAAGGCATCAATTCTGGAGTCTCATCTGTTGCATATCCAATCATTAATCCTTAATCTCCTGCTCCAATGTTATCATCATCTTTACATTTTACTACTGCTGAATTTATTTAATTTGATTATTAATCTAATGATACCACTACTAATGCATTCTTATAATCTAATCCTTTCTCTATTATACATATCTATATATCTATTACCTATACTATCATATCCTACTTTCTTTATTGCATCTCTTACTATTGTCTCATAAGATACTTATGCTTGAGTTGAAATCTCTCCAAACACCATCACTAATGAATTTTTACATGCTGTCTCACAAGCAACCTTTGAATTTGGATCCTATTATAAACAAGCATCCAAAACACTATCACTTATCAAATCACATAATTTATCTGGATGTCCACTACTTACACTCTCACTTGTAAATAAAAAATGACCTTTTGGTAGTACAAACTTAGCCTTATAATTACTACCATCATTAACATTCTACAACTCTTCATTCACCATCATCTTTTCTTATTGATAGAATTACAAATTTATTTAAATTTAAATCAATTTTACGACAACTTTTTTAACCCCAAAATACGTCATCATTTTCTTATATTCTTTATATTATATATATATATACTCAAACTAAAATCATTCTTAATCAATCCTAATTCATTTCTATTTCTATTATCACATCCACCTTCACGTTCAATAAAAATCTTCTTAAATATATACTCTTCAACTTCTGCTTATATTTTTATATATTCTCTATCATTCCTACCTAATATTTATATATACATACTCTTATATACTTTATTATTATTTAAACCTTTATACCAATCCACATACATTTCTCTTACCGAATAAAATAAATAGATCAGTATATCAATATATTATATTCCCTATGAAAATTTAAACAAATATACCTCTAACTAATTATCACTATTGCTATACCCAAATCACTTTATTCTTTTCAACTAATAACAATATAAACTAAATATGTTTCTCATCAAAATCCAATACACTACTTGTAAATAAAAATAAAAGAAATACATCATTCTCATATATTATACATATCTCCTATTAAGCATAATTAGATTGAATCAAAAATTATCAATAAGATGTAAGAATAAACTCTAGTAAATTTTATTTTACAAATCCTTTAGAAAAAAAAGATGATAAAGCAAAAATTTCATGTTTTACAATAGAATGAATTAGAAAAATAAAGTAATCAAATTAAAATTACTACTCATAGAATGAATTAGAAAAAACACTTATAAAGAAAATCCCTATGCAAATAAATAATAAGGCTCACAGTAAACTTAATAAATTAGAAAAATATGAATATTTATTAAAAAAATTTATAATTAATTAATTAATAAAATTTTATTTCTTGAAACATAAATTTTAATTATTCTCTCTATTAATCTCTCAAATAAAAATAACAAATTGATTTTTACTAATATTAAATGAAGTAATACACTGAAACTTTAGGTTTCGAAATACTGGTACAGGAACTGCAATTAAATTTATAATATAGTTAAACTAAGCATGTTGTCTTACGGTATATTTAGAATTTTTATTCTAAACTATTTCAATAATTTATTTGAATGGTTTTATAGACATAAAAATTTCATTAAATGAATTTTATTCTCTTCTGATTTATTAATTTCAATTTGAACATAATTTAAAATGCTTTTGAAATGAAAACAAATAATATAAAAAATAATATGATTCATAATTTTTTTTAGTATTTTCTAATTTAAATTTATCTTGATTTTGCATCCCAAGTAAATAAAAAATCTCCATTTTCACTAACAACTCCATAAATATCTCCATGTTCAACTTCACCAAATATCTCATTAAAGCCAAAATTAAATTCAATCACTTATGTTAATTGAAACTAGAATTAACTTGAGCTTTCATGATTATATTTTAAAATGTTAAGATTATAACCATTCTTAATAAATAGTAGTTACTTAGGTATATTAAAACTAGATGGATAATAAGTTTGGCAAGGCTGATCAACACCTGCTATAGCAAAATTAGTAATCTTTAAATATTGAGATCTACTGTCTATTCTCTAATATACTTCTAAATAGGATGAAGAATATGAGAGAAATATAAATGTATTCATATCTATGAAACATAAACGAATCCCAAAAAAATTTAATCTAATTTATTATTTGACTCTCCATATTAAATCATATTAATACAAAACTAAAAGAAGATTATCCTCTCCGCAAGATATAATTTCATTTTCTAATTCATTGAAAGAAATAGAATAAATTGAATTCTTATGATCATAAATTGTTTATGTACAAATCCAACCAAATTTAGTTTTTGAATTGTTGCTCCAAAATTTTATTGTATTATCATAACTACTTGATACTATAAGGTCTCCCTTTTAGTTATAAAGCAATCCAGATATACTATAACTATGCCCAGTTAATTTTTAGTATACCTTGGGATTACTCATTGTAAATGAGGATGTTAATTTAATAGATAAATCATCTGAAGCAGAAATAAATGAATCTGAATTGTATTATTTTGAAAATTTTAGAATATTGACATCTTTTTAATGTATAGCTACCTATTATATATATTTTATTTCTCCTTTCTTAAATTAATAAATTTTTATTAAAGAATCTGCAGAAGCTAAAAGCAAGGTATCATCCTGATTTAAAGCAATTGAATAGCAGGTCTAGTCATTTTTTATTGAATTTATGAGTATATATTAATTTGAAATATTATTTATCTAATATTTGAGAATTTTATTTTTCTCTATTGATTAAAATTATAATGGCTCTATTTATTAATCTTAAAATTCAGGAATGCTTTCTTATATTATTTAACCTTCAATCCCTTCAATAGCTTTTCTTAAAATTGATAAATTTACTTTTTTGGTTCATTAAAATTCGAATAATATATATATATATAATTTTATATCCCTTTTTTTCTAATAAAAAAATTTATAATATTTACACAATCATATTATTTTAGAATATGTTTATAAATTTTAATAAATATTCATGATATAATTATTGATTATTTGATTAATTTATATTTTGCCAACTATTAATTTTAATCTCAACCTCAATTTTAATTGAAAAAAATTCAAAGATTTTCAGAAGAAATTTGTAAATTCTAATTGATTGTAGATTCTTTT